TGGAAACCGGTACTTGGCCGAGTGGCGGAGGCTTTGCCGACTGTATTTTATTGGGTACTCGGCAAAGACGGTTTTTGCCGAGTGCCAAATAAAATACACTCGGCAAAAAAAACACTCGACAAAATGCGTCTTTGCCGAGTGCTTTTTTCTGGCACTTGGCAAATATGTATTTTGCCAAGTGCTATTTTTCTGCACACGGCAAAACGCGTCTTTGCCGAGTGCCTTTTTTCTGGCACTCGGCAAAGATGTATTTTGTCGAGTGCCTTTGTTTTGGCACTCGGCAAAGAGACATTTTGCCGTGTGCATTTTTTTGGCCCTCGACAAATCAGTTTTTCAAAACAATTTTTGAGGCCCTAAATGAATTCAAATGAAAAACTTCTCAACTACAAAGTTGTATAACTTCTCAAGATCTACAAAGTTTATTTTGGTCATTTCTTCATTTGACAAAGCGACAATAACGTTGTTCATAAAATCTACATCTCTCATATCTCTCGTTAGTTTCATGAAAGTAGAAGAGAGATATATAAGATTTGTGAACAATGTTACTACCACTATATCGGATAAACAAATGACTAAAATAAACTTTGTAGATCTTGAGAGGTTATGAAATTTTGTAGTTGGCAACATTTTGATTTGAAATTATATTGTCATTCAAAAACGACGTTTGAATTTGAAAATTTTCAAATTTGAATTTTTCAAAAGATCTCGGATAGAAAAACTTCCTAAATAAAATTGTAGATCTCCAAAAGTTATGAAACTATGTAGTTGACAACTTTTTGATTTGAAATCATCTTATCATGCAAAACTACGTTTGAATCTCTCAAATTTGAAATTCGAATTTTTCAAACGACCTTGGATGGAAAAACTTCCTAAATGAAAATTGTAGATCTCGAAAAGTTATGAAATTTTGTAGTTGACCACTTTTTGATTTGAATTCGTTTAGGGCCTCAAACAAGCAATTTACTCTCGGTTTAGTATAATATATAAGGATAGATAACGGAATAGCTGTTTACCGACAAAAAGCACTCGACAAATAGCTGTTTGCCGACAAAAAATGCCGTGTGTTGTATGCCGAGTGTTACACTCGGCAAAGCAGTTGTTAAGTGTTTTTTGGGCCATTGCCGAGTGCCCCTGGCACTCGGCGAAACGACTGTATCCCGTAGCGCAAGTAGGCGACCAACAGTGATAAGTTAATGGGATGCTAGCCTAATTAACTCTATTTTATATAGATCGAGAGTATATTTGACAGATAAACTTTAGGATTTGGAACAAAATAGCAGAAAGTGTTACCCAAATGGGAAATGCACTGTTGGACTTAATCCTTGTTTTGTCCACACGTTGAGTGATCCGCACACTCTCATCAACCGCTTGCACTTTCGTGCTCACTTCGCGTAAAAAGGGTTAACTCAAGTGTGATGGTATGAACTCTACAAAGCTTATATGTTCGTAGTCTAACCTCAATAATCAAGGTGAGACTAAACTCCAACAATTTTATATAAATATACACAACATGAGAACTAGACCGGATGTCACATCTAAAAAGAAGTAGAGCCTGGTCATTGGTACGAGCCCAAATGAAGTATACATGAAAAGGTGATAGTGACAATATAAATGTGTTTACCTTACAATGACGCAAAAAAAAGATTGGGTACAAAATCAATCGACGGCCAGATAATAATCAGAAAAAAATCAATCTCTGTTTTTCCCCCAAAGACGACCGCGGGTGTGTTTAGACGCATATGTATGTCGTGCACGCATGACTGCAGTAGTGGTGGTGGCAGCTGGGATGCTGCAAATGAAATCTGCACTCAGCACCGTACAGTGTCTGCAATATATGCCACGAAATTCCAGGCTCGCAACGCAACTTCAGAACTTCACTTGAATTTCTTGGTCCGTCCAAGGCTGCACCTGCATGTCCTGTGTCTGTGTCTCCACGTGCAAGACAAACGCTAAAGCTATCGCCGTCGTTGACTGCTGCTGCCACCGCCCTGGCCCTGGACCACCCTGGATCCTGCAGACTGTTCGCTTGTTCGTATATGATTGTAGATTATAAGTTGGAATAGTATTTTTCTCTGACACCAAATCAGCCAGTAATAAATAATCCATGATCGTTTACGATGAAACGAACAAGCTGCTGGTGCATGTACACTGTGCACGAGTCAAAAGCACGGAGCCACGCTCGATCGTTTTCACTTTTCTCAATGACAAACGCAAGAGGTCAAAATGATGCAGCCTTTTTTCCACCAACTTTTCGTCAACTTTCCAGTTTGAACAAAAGTGTATTTACCCGCGTGGGACGTCCGATCCGACGACAAAAAGTGCATGACATAAATCACTGTGATCGGTGGGACGTGCGCTTTTGAATGACGTACTCCCTCCATTGTTTTAGTAATTATTATTATAAAGAAAGGTTTGTTACGAATTTAGGATTATTTGATAAAACCTTTCGATCGATCGAGGTAAGCCTTTTTTTTTATTAACTACCAAACGGGTCCGTGCGTGACAATGGAATGTACATCTTATTGTATTGTCACCTGAACGCGACTTGTGGCTCGAATATTTATATAACGATTGCGTCATTTGTTCCAATATGTATTAGAATTGGACTCTATATAACGTCGCTTGCCACGTATTGGAATCGGCTCCGCATCGCAAGACTCAAGTTGTTCTAACTCGTATGAGCACATATCATGATTCTGAGTCACATACAAGACATGGACAATGTAGGGATAGTTTGAAAAGTAAAAAAAAACATAAGATGAAAAAAACTTTGTTCTTTAATATTAACTAGCAAACGCGTGCTATGCTGGCATCTTATTGCGCATGTCTTTGATCTCGTTCAAAATAAGCAAGATCAACTATGTTGGTAGCCACGCCATGGACATCAAGATGACCTCTACCACAAAGTAGGCCATGGACATCATATATAATTTTGTTTGCGGTAGAAATTAGGGGACGGGGGAGCCCTCTCCCTGCGCCCATGCTTACCTTTACGTAGAGTGAGTTTTGCATCTATAGCATACTTTTTTAATATGTTATATGTATTTTCTTATAGGTTGTACCACGTCTCGTCTTTGGAAACTGTCATATTTCTTGATTACGACAAACCGACCTCGATCGTCATAATTAATGACCCTAAAAAGATGTATATGTCCTCCGAGGTAAATATAACGAGTTGATATTGCTTATATTGTTGATATTCCTTCATCTCATGCTAGCTTCCCCTAACAAAAGAAATTTACATTTCAGAGGTATATTTATTTTAACTAGTTGTTGATTACCAAAGCTGCATTTTTCTTTTTACTTCTTCTTTTAGGAATTAGTAAGATTTTTAGTAAAACCTCAAAATTATTAGCAATGGCGAGTTCTCTAGGTTGAGGTTGAAGGATGGGGTTGCCGGGTCGAAATTGAATAGACAGCTCTACAAAGCACAGGGCTTTTTGGGCATAACAGGACTGGTGGACAAAGCAAGTGGTGGGTGAAGCAACGAGGCGGGGGTGATTGTGCATGCCTAGAAGAGGAGGCGTGAGGTGGCACGGAAGGTCAAAGACGATTTCAACATGGTTTGATCTGGATCGGACAACTACGAAGGGTCACTTAAAAAGATGTGAAAATACACGTGCTTGGCAAATAGCATCTTTTTCTCTCTCAAAAAGAACGGTGAAATTTTTTACTTTTGTAGTAAATATTATTAGAAGAAGAAATGATCGAGTTTAGTTTAGGAGGAAAATTAGGTTTAAAAACGTACACCTATGAGTAAAAAACACACACAACTTGGCTCATGAATCACACAACTAGGAGGTGTACATCGACCATCTGTACACAACTTCCAATCCTATAACTAGGAGGTACGTAGCCATATCCCTAAACAACTTCGGTACAAATAGCATTTCCTCTAAAATGGAGATGAGAGCATAATGGACTCGTGGACAAGGCAGGTGGTGATCTAAGCAAGGAGACGGGGGCGAGCACATCTATGAGAGGTGTTTGATGGCACATAAGGTTGAGGGCAATTTCAACATGGTTTGATCTGGATCGGACAGCCGCCAAGTGTCACTAGAAAAAGATGAAAAAATACACACGCTTGACAAATAGTAATTTTGTTTTTTGAAAGAACGTAAAACTTTTTACTTTCCATAAATGCTATTAGAAGATGAGAAACACGCTTAGTTTACAAGGAAAACCGAGTCTAAAATCATACATCTATGAGTAAAAAACCATGCAAAATTTGGGTTCATAAGCCGCACAACTAAGAGGAATACACCGACCATCTCTAGACAACTTCAACCCACCGACCCTATAACCAGGGCGGTACATAGTCACATCTCTAAACAACTTCGGTACAAATAGCGTTTCCCCTTTAAAATGGCGTCCTATATTTGAGGTTCTCAAATTTTAAGATGATTTCAGACAACACTATTGTACAAATCAACTAATATGGAAGTAAATTGGTATTTTTGTGATTTGTTCTTTATTTTTGTATCATCAAATTTTTGTCTATGTCTAACTATAGAAACAATAGAAATAATTATAAATTGTTAATTGTCTTTGCACCATCACATATCAGATTTTGTTGGATTTGTAGTTTTGTCTAACGGTTTTTTATTCTTAGAAACCGAAAATTACAAATTATGCCTACATAAATTATAACGAACTAAAACTATAATTTTAGTATAAAATATATGCAATAACCGTGGTATGAAAGAAACTTAAAATAGTAAAATTCAAGCACCTGAATTTTAGCAAATCCCTTATATATGATTGTGGAGGAGAGACGATCAATTTGTTGTTGTGTCGGCGAAAAAAAAAATCATACTTCAAACGACAGTCAAATAAATTCAAGGGAGCACACCGTAATGGGATCGAGATCGACGACGCAAATATGGCACGATCGTAGAGAGAATGCTGTACATACATACATACATACAGTTTAGTAGACACGTGCGTTCATGCATGCAGTGCAGCACCTGCGATGGCCATGGTTAACCGAGCTCAGCTAGCTAGGTGTGCCGGCACGACGGCGCCGCCGGCCTCCAGGCGGAGACGGAGTAGAGCGGCTTGCGGTGCCAGCAGAAGAAGAAGGCCTCGCCCCGGGCGTCGTGGACCACCTGGTACGCGTAGTCCCCGCCGCCCCACCCGCAGCTCTGCAGCAGCTTCCTCGCCTCCATCATGCCGGCGTAGCTGAGGCCGACGCGCTCCATCCCGGCGGCCTCCATCCGGCGCGCCCACTGCGCCAGCCGCTCGTGCCGCTCCTTCCGCTCCGCGCCCTCCCGCGCCACCACGCCACGGATCTCCTCCCCGAGCACCAGCCGCTCGGCGCGCGCCCGCTCCCCCGCGCACCGGTGCGCCTGCGCCACCGACGCGCGCTCCAGGCAGTCGAACAGCGACGCGTAGTAGTTGAGCGCCTCCTCGAACCGCTCCAGGAACGTCGCCGCGTTGTGGTTCGCCTCCGGCTCCGCCACCACCATGATCTTCGGCGACAGCGCCCGCACCGCACGCAGGAAGCTCCCCAGCTTCGCCTTTTCCCTCTGCTGCTGCTGCTGGTTCGCCGGCGACAGCGACGACGACTGCGGCGACATGGAGAGCACCGCTGACGAGTCCGGGCTCAGCTGCAGCCGTGTGTTGATCTCCCGCTCCAGCAGCTCGCCGAAGCTGCTGGGGCTGGACCGCGCGATGATCTGCACCGGGGTCAGGCAGCTGCTGCCGGGGACGTGCCGGCTGCTCCTGCCGCCGCCGGCGTCGTCGGCCGCCAGGAGGCGGTGCAGCTGCCCCACCACGCTGACGGCCAGCGCCTCGCCGGACCTGACGCGGAGGACGTGCCGGAGCGCGTCGATGTCCAGCTCCTCCAACCTGGCTTCCACGGCGCTGAACTGGAACGGGATGTCGAACGCCTCGGCCTCCTTGGCGAGCACGGCGGCCATGTTGGCCAGAAACTCCCTGCCGTCGTGCACGGCCGTGATGCGGAGGTGCGGCGGCCCCCCGCGGCGGCCGCGGAAGGCGTGGAACAGCGCGATCCACTGCACCGGGTTGGCGGCGGAGCCGGAGAGGTCGACGACGTGCACGAACCTCTCGCCCTCCATCGCCTCCAGGATGGCGTGGTTGGTGGTCAGGTACGCCAGCTTCATGAACGGCAGCACGTCGAAGAGGTGCCGCCGCGCGGCGGGCACCAGGTGCGCCTCCGCGGAGTTGCCCCCCGTGGACAGCAGCGCCCGTGACAGGCCGGGGACCAGGTTCAGCAGCTTTCGCGCCAGCGCGTCGGCGAAGACGGCGGCGAGCCGCTGCAGCGTGTGCGGCGCGTCCAGGGACGCCAGCTGCGTGATCTGCTCCAGGTAGAAGTTGGCGCGGTCGAAGGCGCCCGCCGCCACCTCCGCTGCGCACTGGTACAGCAGGTTGATGAGGCGCAGGCCCTGCTGGTCGTGGCTCAGCTCCTGCACCCACAACGACCCGAGCCCGCCATGCCCGTGCGGCGACGGCGTGTACAGCGACGACGCCGGCGACGACGTCGCCGACGACAACGTGTCCTCCTGGAACATCTCCATGTCCAGACCGCTGAGCGATCGAAATCCTCACCAAGCTTTCAGCTTTGGACGGACGGACGGACGGGGCTTCTGGGTCAATGGATCGCTGCGCTGGATATGAAGGCGATCGAGCACGCCATTGTTGGGCTTGGATCTTGGTATAGCGACAAATGTTGCAATGCAAGCCTGCTGCAAGGTCTCGAGTTCATACGTTCCTAGGTGGTGACCTTGTCATGGGGTGCAGAAGCGACGACGCAGAAATTGGATGCATGTGCGGCAAGGGCTAAGCCATGTCGTCTGCATCTCGGTGGAATAACTAAGCTGCTTGGAGATATTCGCTTGGAACTTATCTGCAGCGTTTTGGATCAGGAGTACCAGACAATTTTGCGATCAATTCAATCCCTTCAGGCTATTGCTGCAGGCGTACTATGCAGAATATATACAAAATTGCATAGCTAGTGTCTGATTGATACAAAAATGTTTGGCAGGAAACTCTCTAGCTATATGGAGATATATATTTGTTTTCCATGAGCAACCAGTGAGGTTCAAATGCTGTGCAGACATGGCTCCAAAATCTGCATTCATGTGCAGGCTACAGTTTCCCCGAGGACAAGAAGCAAACACTTCAGTTTTGTCAGCTTTACAAAACAAATGGTATAGGTGATTGCAAGGTGGCTGTTTCTTGGAGTACTCGTTCAAATTTGACCACATGCTTTTGTTTTCCACCTATAATGCTAATTTCTGCTTCTTATTTTACAGAAACTTTAATCAGGAGGGGCCGACCCAGTGTGCTCTTGTTTCGTTTGCAAGGAAAACCTGTCCATCCTATGCACCAGAAATTGTCCAGTCTCTTGGCATGCGCATATGCTTCGCCAATTTCAAAACCAATCTTGTTCCAATTTTGTTCTCTTCTGCTGGTTCATAAGGATAGCCAAAAAAAAGAACACAACAGAACCAAGGTAAAGGCAACAACACCATTTTACATGAAAACAGCTCCCTTAAAAAGAGATGTCAAAAACTAGGAACTGATGGAGAGCAATCCAAAATTGCTATTATGAATTAACTTAGACACTTCTTCCAATTCAGCTCGGCGATTTTTTTGTTTTTTAGCCTTTTTTGAAAAAATTTCACAAATATGCCTCTGGAGGTATGATTTCAAAATCTGGACCCTTAGCTCGGCGTCATTGTTGGTGGCGCCGAGCTTACACATCTCGGCGCCATAGATTTTGGCGCCTAGGTCTTGGGCTCGACGCAGATGTGGTGGTGACTTGCCAGGCAGCTTGGCGCCGTAGATCCTGGCGCCGAGCTTGACGCCGTAGATCTTGGCGCCAAGCTTGACGCCGTGGTTATTGGCGCCAAGCCCTATCTTACGTATGGGCTCTCCCTTCCTTTCTCTCTTCGTCTCTCTCTCTCTAACGCTCCCCGAACCAGCGCTGCCGCACCGCCGTCGCCGCGTGTAGCCCCGCCGCCCCCCGCGCCCGCCCGCTCCTGCCCCCGCACGCTCCCTCGCCTGGCCGCGCCACCGCGCCCGCGCCCGTGCTGGCCACCGCGACCTCGCCGGCTCGCGCGCACGGAGTGCCGGTCGTCCCGCGCCCGCCGCCTTGTCCGTCCCGGCTCGCCGTGTCCGCCGCGCATGCATAGGCGCTCCCTCCGGTGACCCCGGCCGCGACATGGCCCCTGCTCCCAGCGCGCCGCGACCTCGCCGTCGATCCCATCCTCCACGTCCGCGTCGCATCGTTGCATTGACTTGGACAGGTAAAATTTTTGAATATGCAATGTAGGTACTTAGTTAGCTTGAATTGTAGTGCTACTTAAATTATTTGGTAGTTTCTAGTAAATGATATGATGTAGGTAGTTGATTTAGTTAGTGAGATAGATATAGTTAGATAAATATAGTTAGATAGCTAGTGACATAGGTACATAGATATAGTTATTAGATAGCTAGTTGATTTAGTTAGTGAGATAAATATAGTTAGATAGCTAGTGACATAGTTATTTAGGGTGTAGTTGATTAGTATCTATTAGAGAGGTACTATATAGCAGCTACTTTGGACTAAACGAACTGTATTTTAATTTTTATTTGAACTACTAGATGGACAATCTAGTGAGCATATATCATGGAGGCACCGTGGAAAGAGATCGCTATGGATATGTTGAGTTTATTGAGATGTAAACCATGCATATGTTATTCAATGAGAAGCCATCGTTTAGTGAGCTGGTTGCAAGGGCTCGGGAGGAGCTACATTGCCATGGAGCTATGATGATGATGATGACATCGCAGTGGAGGGTGTACTTCACCTAGGTTCCCCTCCCAACATTTTTAGGAAGATGATTCCAATTGGGTGTGTAGACCAGTAGGAGAACTATGTGAGATCAGCTATGAAGTGCCAGTACCAAAGTTTGGATGTGGTTGTGGGTGTTAGTTGATCCCATCCCTCATGAGTTTTCCCCACCAATGGGTCAGCAGGCACACTTCGACCCTCCCATCCCAAAACCTGATATGGATATGGAGGTTGCACCTATGGTTCCCGATGCTCAATCTTCCCCAATATGCTAGTTGGAGATGCTTGTCAAACTCATGATGTTATGGCGGATCCTCCTCATGAGATCCCTTTGACATAGAATCATCCGAGTAAGTGTCTTATCCGCATGGTTATTGGGAGCTTACACCATTCCTTACATCCAATTTTTCATTCTTTTCTCATTTTTCTACTTATGTTGCAGTAGACATTTCTGACAATGTGGATGTGCCCACTGTTGCTGCTCAAGTGCTCTGTGGAGATGGATTCCGTGGCTCCAATAGTGTTGAAATTATGAATGATTCAGAGCCATATGAGATGGCAAGGGCTCTTGATTCTGATGATGATCGTCTTGTTGGAGAGCTGACAGAGAGTGATGTTGAGATGCTAAGGCGTATCTTTCCCGGCCGCCATGATCCAAGAGTTCACGAGTTCAGCGATCTTGCTCATTTAGATTAGGCGTGTGTAGAAGGACATGATGATGAGCTCCTAGAGGCTTCTGAGGCCGGCCCTAACATGGTATTTGAGAATGGGAGGGTATTCAAGGACCTCCCTACATTGAAGAGGTGGTTGCAGGCGTTTGTAGTGATATGAAAGAGACCTTACAAGGTCTTGCATTCATATACGGAGCGCCGTTACACAGTTGTGTGTGACAAGGAACACTACCCATGGAGGGTTTGTGCAAGGAAGCAAAAGGTCACCGAAAATTGGAAGATCACAAAAGTTGTCGGGCCACACAATTGTGCTGACCATGTGCTGACACTGAAACATCGGCAGTTGACATCTACCCTCATTTCCAAGTGGTTGATAGGAATATTGTAGGGAGAACCCAACATAAAGGTTAGGACAATTATCAGGACCATTGAGGCGTTGTATGGAGGTTATGTGATAACTTATGGTAAAGCTTGGAGGGCTAAGCAGCGAGCGTGGAAGATGATATATGGGGACTGGGAGCATGGGTATGAGCAGCTGCTAGTACTTTTCAATGCAATCAAAGCGGTGAATCCAGGCATGCATTATGAGTACATTCCAAACCAAATGCATGGAAGGATGGGAGGTAGATATTCTTTCGTGCTTTCTGGTGCTTCCCTCAGTGTGTCGAGGTCTTTAGGCACTGTCGTCCCGTCTTCTCCATTGATGGTACATTCTTGATTGACAAATACTAGGGCACACTTCTTATAGCCATATCTTGTGACGCGAACAATAAGTTGGTTCCTTTGGCATTTGCTTTGGTTGAGAAGGAGAATAATGACAGTTGGGGATGGTTCTTGAGACTAGTCCGAATACATGTGGTTGGGCATGGCAGGGAGGTTGGCGTCATATTTGATAGGCACCAGGGCATACTTAATGCCGTGCGAGAGTAGATAGAGGGTATGCACATTTGCACCTTTGTTGGTGTACTTGGCACCTTGCCGAGAATCCTACTTCGGAAGGATGGTGTGAAGGATAACTTTGATCTGTTCCACGAGGCTGCTCGACAGCTTGAGAACAAGTACTTTCAGAAAAAGTTGGAGCAGGTCAAAACCGCATCAAATGCAGAAGGTAGATAATGGCTCAGGTTTGATGAGGGATTTGGAGAATGGACAAGAGCTCACGATGCCGGTGGATGGAGGTACGAGTTTCAGTACAACAACATGGTGGAGTCATTTAATAAGATGCTATTGGGGATACATGGTATGCCCGTGAATGCAATCATTCAATTCACCTTCTACAAGCTTGTTGCCTGGTTCAACGATAGACACGCCCATGCATTGAAGTTGCGGAGTAATGGAGAGATGGGCTTCGAAACCAAAGACACATCTTGAGAAGGCAAATGAAAGGGCTGGCACACATGAGGTTACATGTTTTGATCATGCCATAGGGACTTATCAGATCGAGCATAGGGGCGGTACAACGTCCGACAGTGAGGTCCGAGAGTCGAGGATGCATATGGTAATCCTCTAAGATTTGACATGCACTTGTGGTAAACCAAGGTAGTACCACTTTCTATGTTCTCATTTGGTGGCAGCAGCTAGACATCACAACTATAATATCGAGAGCAAGATACCTCACGGGTTCAGCGTCGACACACTTGTGCACACATGGAGCCCCTGCTTCGTGCCTTTTTGGGACCCTGGAGAGTGGCCTCCATATGATGGGCCAAACTACATTGCGGATTCAGCTTACCGTTAGAACAAACGTGGATCAAGGAAGAGGACGAGGCACAGGATGGTTATGGATCAGATACCCAGAAGAACAAGGCGTGGGAGAGGAACCCCATTTCTTACTGACCCCGAGCAGTACGAGTGCAGTAAGTGTGGTAGACTGGGCCACAATTCACGCACTTGCCATTGGCAGATTAGTGAGGTGTGACTATTGGTTATTTTCATTAATTCATATTTGTCGTATTCATTCAATTAATTATGCATGTCTCAATTTATTCTTATAATTGTGTCAATTACTTGTACAGTTCTTAGTTTATGTTTCATTATATATTGAATTTCTATTTCATTGACTTTTTTT